GTAGGCCGTAGTGCCGCTGTCCGGGCAAAATTTCCCTCAAAGCACACTGTATGGCGTATGCCCGTCTTCATTAGCCCAGTTCGGAGCAAAACAGTAGGACGTTAAACCCCATTATTCATTTCATTTCATTTTCCGGTTGTACTGACAAGGAGTAGAGTCGCCTGTCCAACCTCACGGGGTTTTTCCGGGTCCTCCGGTTTCCTCCCACTGCTAAAGACTCCTGCGCCATGTTAGTCCCGAAATTATCTAGTTTGTGTCGAGTTGACGTTAAACCCTCTCTCTCTCTCCTCTCTCTCTCTCTCTCTCCTCTCTCTCTCCCCTCCCTCCTCTCTCTCTCTCTCTCTCCCTCTCTCTCTCCCCTCCCCCCCTCTCTCTCACTCTCTCTCCCTCTCTCTCTCCCCTCCCCCCCTCTCTCTCTACATATATATAATAAATAAACGAGACAACTATTGTGTAAAATTGAATCTAAGAACTTTAGCCGTGAATAGACAATATATAGAATATCTTGTCCATGTTAAAGGGCTTAACCTTTCATTTAAACACACGGGTAAGTTTATAATGGCAGATGTTAAGTAGTTTGTTCATTATCGAAAAAATCCGTTTAAAATTTCCGATGGTTCAGACAGTAACTAATGATTTATACAACATTTAAGTGCTTCCATCGATTATTTTAAACAAAGAGACCCATTATTATCTCAGCTTCCGAAAAAAAAGGATTTAAGTCCTATTTGCACCGGTAATTTAGGGCGGTTATATTTGTTTCCCACTTCCGTGTGCTGCGTTACTATAGGATTGAAGGACAGCTGCCTAGTCGTTCGGATGAGACGAAAAACCGAGGTCCCGTGTACACATTGGCGTGCACGTAAAAGATCCCTTGGCAGTTGGAATTCGATATAAGAGTAGGCCGTAGCGCCACTGCCCGGGCGAAATTTCCCTCATAGCACACTGTATGGCGTATGCCCGTCTTCAATTAGCCCAGTTTAGGTGCAGAAGCGTAGGACGTTAAACCCCATTTCATTCCATTACTATGGGATTGTCCCTAATATAGACTTTTGGCAAGCGAAATTTTCCCTATCGGTATCACGTATCCGTATCGTCATGTGATACGTTGCGTCAAAATGAAATGAAATGAAATGGAGTTTAACGTCCTACTGTTCTGCTCCTAACCTGGGCTAATGAAGACGGGCATACGCCATATTGTGTGCTATGAGGGAAATTTTGTCCGGGCAGCGGCGCTATGGCCTACTCTTATATCGAATTCCAACTACCAAGGGATCTTTTACGTGCACGCCAATGTGTACACGGGACCACGGTTTTTCGTCCCATCCGAACGACTAGACAGCTGTCCTTGTCAGGCCCTCCATCCTGCATCACTGAGAAGGGGAAACTACGCTGGAAGAGTTTTGACAGATTTTCGCGCCGCGTTCGTATGAATAGCTGAGCTGAGAATAGTTATATTATAGCGAGAGAGAGAGAGAGAGAGAAATGGGGTTTAACGTCCACTCGACACAAACTAGGTCATTTCGGGACTAATATATGGTTTAATTTTATTTACATAATTCGCTTGCGCGTAGGGGTCTTTAGCAGTGGGAGGAAACCGGAGGACCCGGAGAAAACCCACGAGGTTGGACAGGCGACCCTACTCCTTGCCACGTACAACCGGGGATTCGAAACCACGCCAGTCGACTCACTGACAGACTTTATGATACAGCGCGCGCACGCTAACCATTCAGCCATCCAACTCCCCCTATATTATAGCATGATGGCAGTTATCTACCAAGATCAACATCAGTACTAGTCAAATGCCTAGCGTACAAATTCCTGGAGGGAGTGAAGTCGCTCGACGGTCGCTGAGCTATTAAATAAAATTTAATGTCGAATCTTATTAAAAATCGTCGACTACCAACTCGATAGCAATTATTGGTTTCACTAATGTATCATTTCAGAAAGCCTATACCCGTTTACCATAGAATCACATCATTTAGAGATTTCCGAGGTCCCTCCTCCCTAAATTTAGCACGTAGATCAACCAGCATGCAGACAGACAAGAGGACAAATATGTAAATTTCGAGAAAATCTCATCAAAAATAATGATAAAATTCCAGTCTTTATCATGGTTAAAATCACATCAAATATACACCTTCGTGTTCTAGGATGCACATAGATTCATTAAAACGCTACGGCACAACATTTCAGCGTCTAAAAGTAGTACAAAAAGACGACGATGTTATACGCAACTTTTCCGTATATGAAAGCTGTCCGAAAAAATTGATAACGTCACACGCAAAGTCGATACAGATATACGCGAAATTTACATTTGCCAAAAGTTCCTATTAAATCCACGATCTGCTACATGCAGATACGTTAGGATACGTTTCGATACGATCAACACGATTGTTACGACTGACCTCAATATATGATATGACTTGAAAGGATCACCACGGTCAGTGGGGACCTAGCATTATCAAGTTGATATTCACTAAAATTATTGTTGTGTTCCATTTTCAATTCATAAGAAACGGTACCCATTTTTAACATAGATGGACTTAGTCTCGGTCACCCAGAACATCCTAGTCTTCAACATACGGAGGGTCTGGGACCGTTGTCAATATTTGACGTTAAGTCCATTGCCCATGCGTAACCGGGAGTTTGGTTTTTAATGTGGTTGATTATCCAGTCTCTTTAGCCAAGTCAAGTAAGAGCTACTCCCCTTCCCACAATAAATCCCATAATTCTTGCATTAATATAAACAAACATGAATCGTGACGACGAATTAGGATTTATTAAATAAAAACCCATAGATATGGCCCATGAAGAGAGACATTTTACAATAAAAAATTGAGAGTGTTAGATATTGAACTGGCATGCAATCAAATGTATTTTTTGAAATGACATTCTTAAATTAATTTCATGGGCGTAAACATCTTGTTTTAAGAGGAGTTACCTCCCTTAGACATTGTTAATGATAATGTAAAAGACCGGATTGTCTACGATATCACCTTAGGTGAAAGTGGAGGTAAAACTCGTAGAATATTTTTCTGGATGATAGAGACTAAGATGGACTTGATGAACATGTTCGAGTACACTTCGACCTGTTCACACATTTGATAGGGCGTTGGGTGGCCGAATGGTCAACGCGTACGCGTTGTATCAGAGGGTCTGCCGTTGAGTCAAGTGGCGTGGTTTCGATTTCCCGTTTGTACGTGACAAAAAGTAGGGTCGCCTGTCCAACCTCTACGCGGAAGCGAATTATTGAAATAAAATTGAGCAATATTTAGTCCCGAAATGACCTAGTTTGTGTCAAGTAGACGTTAAACCCCATCTATCTCTCGAACGCAGTATCCATGTCAGCCTAGCGCGCGCCAGCCCAGACCAGTGATAGCTGGACTTTAAATCAGTAAAGCTTTTCTCGGCCGGGATTCGAACATGGGACGAGAGGTCAGTGAACTCCCTAACCCCACCTCTCTCTACCTCACGGGACAAGAGGTCAGTGAACTCCCTAACCCCACCTCTCTCTAACTCACGGGACAAGAGGTCAGTGAACCCCCTAACACCACCTCTCTCTACCTCCCCTCCCGTCATTTATTAAAGAATATCGTCGATATGTCAGATTTCTGGTTCCAAAGATTTAAAAATAGATTACTTATAGTATTCGCTAGGGATTGTACAGCACTGCTATTGTTTTTCGGGATAATGAAGAATAAAATCATCCAAGCCGTTGGCTATAATTAAGGAACAGTTTGCTCGGGCAGTTAAATTCAAATTATCAAGGGATCTTTTACGTGCAACACGATTACACGCTTCTGTCTTGCCAACACCGAGATCCAACCCAAAATGAAATGAAATGGGGTTTAACGTCCTACTGTTTTGCTCAAACCAAAAAATATTCAAAATACAGTGACGAAATGTAATCCTTTTGTCTCCATTAGAACCTCTATGTAACGGGGGGGGGGGGGGGGGGGTGGCTGAATGGTTAGCGTGCGCGCGCTGTATCATAAAGTCTGTCATTGAGTCGACTGGCGTGGTTTCGAATCCCCGGTTGTACGTGACAAGGAGTAGGGTGGCCTGTCCAACCTCGTGGGTTTCCTCCGGGTCCTCCGGTTTCCTCCCACTGCTAAAGACTCCTTATGCGCAAGCGAATTATTGAAATAAAATTGAACCATATGTTAGTCCCGAAATGACCTAATTTGTGTCGAGTGGACGTTAAACCCCATTTCTCTCTCTCTCTCTCTCTCTCTCTCTATGTAACTCTAAAATTAGTAGCCAATCATAATTAGCGATTTACCGGTACATTCAACATGGCGGTGGATACGATGTAGTATTAATTATAACCTATCAAAGAGTGATGTGTTTGTTTCATATAACGTGATAGTAAATAAATAATACGCATATAAACTGAAATTTTTGGCATAATTTGTGATTGAAAGGCATATCGGAAGCCCAGTATCGTTGTGTCCACGTTTAGTGGACTACCTACGGCACTAAACCGTAGCCCTCTCACCGAGATGTCAACGTCAACACGTCGTAATCACCGTACACCGCAAAGTAAATCTAAATGTAATTTGAGCTTGTCCTACCGTTCTGAAGCAAACTAATAAATTCACGGGGCTGTCAAAATGTAATTGGAGATACACATACATGTATGATCCTTTTTTTTATTTATTAACAGTTACTAGGGAGGGTATTACTACATGTTAAACAGTGTTTAATTTATACACTTTAAATTTAATGTAAACTGAAGTTATAATAAGCATATATTGTCTCAGATAGAAATTTGGCGGTGTTAAATAGCTCCCGCAAAAGATATGGCGAACACATCTTATCACTCCAGCGTGATTTTGAGATCTCAAGGCCTGAACCACGACGGAAAAACCGCGACCTCCAAGTTAGCGAGCCAGCGTCTTACTCACTTAGCCACCGTGGCTCCCTCCTGGTTAATCAGCTAGCACCTTAACCGCTGAGCCTCCATAGCCTCCATTAAAATAAACAATTATACAAACCTCGGCTATCGCTGACGTAATATCTGGTAGTTGATGGCTGTGACGTGGTAGATGTTGTGTACACGTCATCGTGAAGAAAACAAGAATAATCTGTGACATCATAGAAAAATGAGTAGCAATTTGAATGCATGGAACACATTTGAGCACAAAATGTGTGATATTTTAAACCCGGAACCACCATAAAATTTCCTGATACCATTTTATTGTCCATTGTCGTTACCCTTCGCCATTTTATAGTTAGCGTTAAACTGTTCGATGTATGAAGGAAAAGGACGTATATAAAAACCGGTGCTGTTATAGGAAACATGTCCATGTATCAAATCCAAACGCTAATAACAAACAAATGTACATTAATAGCCATACATTCACAAATGTAAACACGTTTGTTGGTTGTGCCAATGAAACTGATTTATGTCACGATCATACTTTCCTCTCCAGCATGCGATCAAAGAACGATGAAATGATCTAAGATTAATCCAAATCGATCTCAGACAAATTATTCTTCACATGCCTCAGTTCAGTATTTATAAAAATTGTTGATAATTTATTCCGGGTCCTTTTTTCCTCTGAAAATTCTCCACAATGCGATCAAAGATTAGTCTGAATCGATTTCCGACAAATTATTCTTTACATACCTTAGTTCATTATTTATAAAAAAATGTTGATCATTTATTCCGGGTCCTATGATATTAACCAATAAACTATTGCACACAAAATAAAATCGATTTATGATATAACAGTAACTGGTTTATCAACGTGCAACGTTTCGACACATGTGTCAATGTTCAATTACTAAATGTCACTCAAAGAAATTCTGACAAAAGAGCATGGTTTCCCTAAACTGAATTCGAAGCTGCTCCTATCGCGTTTCTTATACGATACAGCGTGACTAAAAAATATAATCGTATACAACAGCTATCGATATCCTTACCAACCTAAATCTAAAGAAAAAGGCTAAAACACAAAATTATACTATTGTTATCAAAGAGTATAGAAAACTTCACAGGTAATCCTAATGCATCATAAAACATAAAAAACGTTTTATATTTTCGATAAAATAAATCCATAAATATTAATGAACGGAAAGCGTCAATGATCAAAGCGTAACGTTTGTTAATTAAGTTTTAGTGTTCGAACACCCAATGACTAGCTTGTCGATTTTCTAAACTCATTTAATACCGATAAAGTTTTATGCCACCATGGAGACTTGACATAAATGAATATGTAACTACTAGAACAAGTGTATAAAGTTGATGTACATTAGAGATCGAAGACCAGCCAATTGATTTGCTGATTGTTCTTGAATCAGGAATTGATCTTTGGTGGTTGTTCCTGGTTCCGTGGTTGTATGTATAAATGCTATTTGACTGCAGAACAAGCATTTGCTTGCGATATCAATCTCCAACGAACCCCAGTAACCAATCAGTCTTATTAATACACCATTGAAATGAAATAAAATGGGGTTTAAAGTCCCACTGTTCTGCTCCGACAGGGATAATCAAGAGAGTCATACGCCATACAGTCTGCTATGAGGGGGACATTTGCCCGGGCAGCGGGGCTATGGCTTATTCTTATATCGATTTCCAACTGCCCGTGGATCTTTTACGTGCACGCTAATGTGAACACGGGACCTCAGTTTTTCGTCCCATTCGAACGACTAGACAGCTGTCCTTGTCAAACCCTCCGGCCTGCACCACTGACAAGGCGAAACCACACTGGAAAATCCCGATGAACTTTCTCGGCCAACACTGGGGTCGAACCCGAGACATCCAGGCTAGTGTAGACACCGTGCCTCCTCTATTAATACACCATTGAAGCTGTAGCACATATTCAGATACCCAAACAGACAAAAAGGAAATAAAAGAAAATGGGGTTTGATTTTCTACTTTAACCAGAGAGAAAGAGAAATGGGGTTTAACGTCCACTCGACATAAACTAGGTCATTTCGGGTCAAACAGATGGTTCAATTTTTATTTCAATAATTCGTTTGCGCGTAGGGGTTTTTGCAGTGGAAGGAAACCGGACGACCCGGAGAAAACCCACGAGGCTGGTCACGTACAACCGGGGAATCGAAACCACGCCAGTTGACTCAATGACAGACTTTCAGATACAGCGCGCACGTGCAAACCATTCTGCCATCAAACCCCCAACCTGACTAGCGACTTACTGGCTAAATCTATTTGTTAAGGCCAGCTCAATTTTCGTCATTCTCGCTGAGATGTAAATAAGATTAGGGCACGTGATTGTTGGCGAGATTGTAAATTAGGGTTAGGGTAAGCATTAGGGCTAGGTCCAAGATTAGGGCTAGGGTTGTGATTAGCGCTTCCCCTGTTTACACCTCGTGACCTTTGACCAACCAAACTTGGATCTAACCTGGCTTACTCATTGAACAACTTGTCGAAAGGACCATGTCAGTATGTCTTCACAGTCTCCGAGTTCACAAAGCATTCTCAGACTTACTCAAAATTGTTCTTATTTTAAAGTTACAATTTCATATTTTCTAAGAAAGTCAAAACATAATTATTTCTATGTCTTTTGCTCAATAGGTTGTCAATTCACCATTATACGATCATAGGTGTCATTCTCACACTTAAAACTCATTTACACTGGAAATAATAACACAATTACCTCCCAATTACCTCCCTTGTTTTCTATTCTCCACCATGGAGTAGTTATTTTCAAACGTTGGAATTTGAAGATGAAAATGATATTTTTGCCAATTTCTCAACTGGCAATAGTGAATTATAGGATTAATAGGATTATTCTTTAACAAGGTAGGACTGGTTATAGATACCATCTATTTTAAGGCTTTATTTTAATAAATTTTAAAAATATAACTTTAAAATATGAAATATAATATAACCGTTTATAAAACTTGTATTGTTTTAATGTAGCAAATAATCGATAAGAAACTATGTGTAAAGTTTTGTGTTTCTGGATCAAAGATATTTCCCATAAACAGTAATTGAAAGTTGAGTAAATTCTTAACTAAAGTCTGAGAATGATTTGTGAACCCGGGGCCTGGTCTGTTGTATTGCGCAGTACATGTGAAAAATGTGGAGAGTGGGAATCCACCACATAATTCTGTCATGTCAAGGCAACGATCACAATATTTACATATACGTGTATTAAAGTAGCCAAGTCTCTAACTCAATATCATCCAAAGTCTTCGACATTCTAAACGCGAATTATTTATCAATTTAAATCAACATTGATGTTGTGACCTTACTGGGAAAAGATGGGCGTCTGATATCCAGTATTTATGACAAAATAAACATTTTACCATTGGTACACGTATCGTGTACCATAATGCGTTTCAGCTCCATTTGTAACAAGTCATGTCAAACGGTGACGCCAAATTCTTATCTCACTTACTTAGTTAGTTATATTTTACGTCCGCTTTCACCGAGGTGATATCTCGGGAGCCTGCGCAATAAATACTATCGGTGTAGACCGGAATAATCAGACGCTAGAGATTACCATTCGCCGAACATAACTGATTAGAAATTAGAGTAAAAACAGAAACGATTGAATGTAAATCAGTGCAATATCTAGGTGCTCTTTATCCAACCCTCCATAATGTATCTTTAAGTACAGTTTCCTTCTAGTATTCCTGCTTTTATGATAAGGGGGATTGGGTGGCTGAAAGAACTATCATGCGCTTTAGATCATAGGGTCTGTTATGAGTCAAGTGGTGTGGTTACGATCCCAGGATACGGTCGCCGGTACAAAGAATAGCGATTTACTTACCTCCTTTAACTTTTTGATGCAGGACGGAGGGTCTGACAAGGACAGCTGTCTAGTCGTTCGGATGGGACGAAAAACCGAGGTCCCGTGTACATATTGGCGTGCACGTAAAAGATCTCTTGACAGTTGGAATTCGACATAAGAGTAGGCCGTAGCGCCGCTGCCAGGACAAAATGTCCCTCATAGCACACTGTATGGCGTATGCCCGTCTTCATTAGCCCAGTTTAGGAGCAGAACAGTAAGACGTTAAACACCATTTCATTTCATTTCATTTCCTTTAACTTTTGGGGTGTTGGATGGCTGAATGGTTAGCGTGCGCGCGCTGTATCATAAAGTCTGTCATTGAGTCGACTGGCGTGGTTTTGAATCCCCGGTTGTACGTGGCAAGGAGTAGGGTCGCCTGTCCAACCTCGTGGGTTTTCTCCGGGGCCTCCGGTTTCCTCCCACTGCTAAAGACCCCTACGCGCAAGCGAATTATGTAAATAAAGTTAAACCATATGTTAGTCCCGAAATGACCTAGTTTGTGTCGAGTGGGCGTTAAACCCCATTTCTCTCTCTCTCTCTCCCTTTAACTTTTATCTTGCGCGTTGTTGACCCCAATACGCTTCCGTATCCAGATGTTGTTGACCCTTATACGCTATCTAGGTGATGTTTGATAACTAGAATCAATGTTTTATATCTTATAACTAGTCCCAAGAGTTATTATTACTATATTTTTGTCAATTATTCCAATCGGATTCTTGTCTTGTTTCCTTGGTACAAGTGTTTATTATTTGATGTTAATGCTAAGAATTCCATGACAAGTAGAAGAACAATCCGTTCTAGCCATTGTGTGGTTAAATCGGAATCGAACTTATAGTATCACTCCGCGAGATAGAAAAACAAAATCCCGACAAAATTCTACTTGATGGTAGAGGTAAGAGGGTTTGTCAGATTTCACCGAGATAGAAATGAAAGGAAATGGCTTTGAACGTCCTACTGTTCTGCTCCGAACTGGGCTAATGAAGACGGGCATACGCAATACAGTGTGCTATGAGGGAAACTTTGCCCTGACAGCGGCACTATGGCCCACTCTTATATCGAATTCCAACTGTCAAGGGATTTTTTTACGTGCACGCCAATGTGAACACGGCTCCTTGGTTTTTCGTCCCATCCGAACGACTATACAGCTGTCCTTGTCAGTCCCTCCGTCCTGTATCACTGACAAGGGAAGACGACGCCGGAAAATCTGGATGAACTTTCTCCGCCAATGCAGGGACGGACACCCAACCTCCAGGCTAGCGAGACAGCGTCCAACACACTTAGCCACCATGACCCACCACCTGAATAGAAGTTGATGACGTATAATCTATGTACATTGTGATCAAAAATCAGCGACCACGAATCCAGGTAATTAGCCACGGTGGTATTGATAGATTGAATTGTATAAAGAATAGCTTCAATTCCGGCAAAATATCGATGGTGTGAACCTACCATGATGTGCACCGGAAGCACTTTAGGGCAATAGTAACTCGCGAAAGGCGAAATCTATTTGTTAAAGCCAGCTCAATTTTTGTCAAGGCCGCTGAGAAGTAAATAATGTTAGGGCACGTGATTGTTGGCGAGATTGTGGGTTAGGGTTAGAGTAAGCATTAGGGGCCAGGACCAGGGTTAAGGTAAGGGTTGATATTAGTGCTAGTCCTGTTTACATGTCGAGACCTATGACGAAAAACTGAGCTGGCCTTATCCTTTAGCACTTACCCTAGCGAATGATTATTGAACGTAGGATGCGATCAAACCAAATCAAATGGGTGCGCTGTGGGTCGCTGTGAACCGCCAAATTCAGAAATATTCCTGCAAGGGCGCAAAGCTCTAGCTCAATATTTTCCAGTCTTCGACATTATAAACAATAATTATTGATCCATCACTAGCAATAGTGATGTTTTTTTACTGTGAAAATATGGGCTCCGGCTAGCCTATACTTAAGACAAAGGTGAATAGTTGTAAAAGAAAGAATAACAGCGCACCCTCCTCTTACTTGCCATTTGTTTAACGACCGCTTCAACCGAAGGTGTTATTCCAGACAAATC